TCAAATGTTTTTCATAAGATGCTGGCAACACCAAAGCTCTGGATTCATAGGCAACTTGCGAGCGATTTCAATCTATTCTTTCAAGCAGGCCCAGGAGGTGGTTTACGTAGTGACATCCTTTACTACCTATTGGCTATGTCATTACATTTACACACATGTAAGTAATAAAACATTTACAAGTGTATCTCTGACTTTTCAAAAATTCAGGCCTACCCTGCCCAATAATTATTCATTGGTTTAAAAGGACTGAGTTGACCCTGGCCAGTTTGGTTCAGTGGTTAGAGTGTCAGCCTGTGGACCAAAGAGTCACGGGTTCGATTCTGGTCAAGGGCACATACCTCAGTTGTGGTTTGCTCCCTGGCCCTGGTTGGGGTCATGCAGGAGGCAATCAATCAATGCGTCTCTCTCACATCGACATTTCTCTCTCTCCGTCTCCCTCTCTCTCTCCGTCTCCCTCTCTCTCTCCCTTCCTCCCACTCTATCTGAAGATAAACAGGAAAGTATCCTTAGGTAAGGATTAAAAAAAAAAAAAAAGACTGAGTTGATTAGATTTTCCTTGCATCAAATCCTATTTTATATACTCTTGCTTGAGCCATCATAACAACAAAGACCAAGCACTCGACACTCTTGCTCACTGAATCTTCACCCAACTCTGCACCGTTGGTATTATTAGCTGCACTTCACAGACCAGGAAAGTGCGACTCAACGAGCTGAGTAATTCGCCCCAAATCTCACGTGGTACAAGGCAGAGCAAAGATGCATGTCTTGGTGCTCCAACTCCAAAGCCACTGTGCTACTACGGTGTTGCAGACACGCCATGACCTACCCCTACCTGTGCCGAAAAGTCGCCGTCAGGCTTAACTTCCATCACAGTGACTCAGAGCTCCACGATCATGTACGGCCGACAAAGAACCTCCGCAGCCTCCGCTCGGAGGCCACCGAACACAGCATTAGTGTGTGTACAAAGCCAGTTCTCTGGGAAATCCAGAAAATGGTACCCTCTAGGTAATTTCCAAATAACTCCTTCAGCTGTTTCCACTTCACCCAGCGAGGGGGGTCATGGATTTAATACACAGATGCATTAAATGAGTAAAACCCTTTGTATATTTTTCAAAGCCCTTCTACACTCACTCGCCGATTTAAAGCCAGCTACCCTGTGGGGCAGGCAGATGGAGGGATCGTCCTGGGATGAGGAGATCGAGACTCAGGGACGTGAGGTCCCACAGTTAGCACGTGACACTGTCTGGACCGGAACCCAGGTCTTCTGGTTCCCTTTCCATCTACAGTCGCTTCTTCGGGCCTGAGCCCCACCCCTGGGGACTACTCTAGCTTATGGCAGGTGTGCCCGGCAGCAGGTGTGCCTGCACGTGAAGAACTGAGCCCACTGCCCACGATGCCCTTTCCCCTGGAAACTCGGCAATGGTTCTAAAGACACAGAGCAACAAACCACCAGCGTGTTCTCTTATTTTGCCGACTTTCTGACAAAAAGACACAAGGAGTTAAATGAACACTTTTAAAAGTGAAAAATCACCAAGCTTCTAAAAAGCCAGCAGGAGAGGAGCCATAGCCTGTCTGAATTGTTAATTTAAAGAAGACATTCTTGCCCGGCCGATGTGGCTCAGTGGTTGAGCATTGACCCATGCACCAGGAGGTGGCCGGTTCAACTCCTGGTCAGGGCACATGCCCAGGTTGTGGGCCCGATCCCCAGTGGGGGGCACGCAGGAGGCAGTTAATCGACGTTCTCTCTCATCAATGTTTCTATCTCTCTCTAAAATCAATTTTTAAAAATTTAAAAATAAATAAATAAATGAGACATTCTTTCTAATCACTGTTCATACCAGGACCATCTTCCTCTCCCCAGTGACAACTTAATGTGAAATTACAGACACTCTCGGCTCCTCCCACAGCACTGTCATCAGACATCTGTGTCTTTGTCTGTGTTCATGCTTAGCTACATGGGGTGCGCAGTTCATAAACTTCGTACTCACTTTGAGAAAAAGAGTCTGTTGTAAAACCAAAGATTTTCCCAAAGCATCAATCTTAGAATGCTTTAAAAATTTACCAACAACGAATCAAGTGACAGATTAAAACCAGTTTGAGAACAAAGAGAACGACGTGGCCACACAAAAGGGAAGGAGCCAATGAGGAGAAACAAATTGTTCCCAGTGGTTAACAGACTTAAAGACACAGGTCATCATTTCATGACTTTTCATCAGAAGGCTACGTCATGGCCTTAAATTTCTAAAACAGGAGTATTTTAATTTGGAGCTTTGGGGATTCCATTTATATTGGTCTGAGGGGCTTTGCAACGTAAATTGCCGTCCCTTTCACATATACATCCTCCTGGTTTTATAATCTCTCTAATGTTCCCTAAAAAAAAATTGTGAAGCCCTGGCCGGTTTGGCTCAGCGGTTAGAGCGTCGGCCTGCGGTCCTGAGAGACCTGGGTTCGGTTCCCGCTAAGGGCATGTACCTCGGTTGCAGTTTGTCCCCGGCCCTGGTCGGTTGTGCGGGTGGCAGCCACTCGATGTGTCCCTTTCACATCGATGTTTCTCTCTCTCTCTCTCTGTTCCTCTCTCTCCCTCCCACTCTACCTGAACAAAAAATGGGAAAGTGTCCTCGGGTGAGGATAAAAAAAAAAAATTGTGAAGAACCCTAAGATTAAAATAAAAGTATTTCAAGTTTGCTTGAACAAGAAGATCACTCCAAATGATCCATTTTGATTTTCAGTTGCTTTGGGGGAAAACAAGGGGGAGAGGCTGGGCAGAGAAACCCAGGTAACTGTTAGGGTAGGTAGGAGCCTGCCAGCTCCTGCTAAGTTCCCACAGCAGAAGCCTTATCATCTTTCAAGTCCAGCTGACAGCCCAGGTCTGCACCTCCACTCTCGCTCTGCCCTCCCACGGTGCTTAACAACAGTCTCCGCCACCAGACAATGAGCGTCTGAACACTAGGCCTCCGTCTGTGTCTTAGACATCTTGGCACCCCTGGCCTCTGGCCCAGAGCCGGGCACTGCACAGAGCTCAGGAAATGCTGGCCAAGTGAGCCTCACGGCTGAACGGCTCTGCTGCGCAGACGTGGTTCTTACTTTCCACAGAAGGCCCCTCCGCATTTCCTCCCAACCTGGCCTCCGGGTGCGGCAGGCAGTATGCAGCCCTCGGGAATGTGAACTGACAGGGAACATCACTACAATTTTTATTTGAGAAATGCACATGTTTGCATTCTCCTTCCTAAGGGATCTCGTTTTGTTTTGATACAAAAATGTTTTCTAAATTACTTTTGTAAATTAAACACCTTCATCATGCCAGGGCGATGGCTCCCGCTCTGCAGAGCTCGGAGATAAGGCACGTCGCTGGCACTGTTGAAATTAGTGGTTTCCATGGCCTCAGCCAGTTTAGTTGGCTTTCGGAGACAGGAGGCGCCAAGGAAGTCACAACAGAACTGCTGTTAACCTTGGACAGGCTGTGCCTGTGGCAAGATCCGGCACGACGTGTCCCCAGGGATGCATTCCACCCTTAAAACCCAACACCAACCTGCGGCCGGAGGTTCATGAGGAGGAGGGCACTTTTCAAGTCTTAAGTGAAAGAACATGAGGCATGAGGAGCCACTGCTCTGTAGGAAGAGGCTTTAGGAGCGGGGGGGGGGCTGAAGTATGCTTTCAGCCCCCACAACTCAGTCCAAGCCCCCCGCCCCCACTCCTCTCACTGGGGGGCACAGCTCTGGGCCATTTCTAGAGAGGCCTTCACCTGACGGTGTGTGTCCGTGGCTGAAAGTGACCACGCTTCGTCAGGAGAACTCCAAATCCGCACCCCTGCAAACAGGCAGGGGCTTGGAGGGAAGACGAGGAGGAAGCAGAGATGGCGACGGACTGGGCTTTCTGCTCTGGAAAAGGCACTGTGGAGGCAAATGCGACAGAGGTCTCTTCAGTGACTCAGCGTTACATAAAGACATCACTTCCCCGAGACACCAGCTCCCAGAGAGAAAGATCAAGTGAGTACCGAGAAGATGCTTGCTGGGAGACAAGTCCATCAGCAGTGTTTCCTGAGGCTGTCAGCAGTCAGTGAGTGACAGAGCTCCTCTGGGGCATGGGGCCTCCTGGGCCTCGGGTCATCCCCAGCACCCTCCGCACCCCACCAACAGCTACACCCCCAGCGGGAGCTGCCTCTGAGAAAGCCTACAGCCCGGCTCCCTTCCCTGTCTGGGTACCTGCAGGAGGTGGAGGAGGCACAGCTGCCCTGAGGGGCTGTGCCAGGGCCACTAAGGGCAGAGCAGAGCCCAGAAACACCGGGAGTCCCCTTCCCGAACCAGCCTACAGACTGCCCATCACAGAGCTGAGGCGGAAACAAAACGCAATTCCAGAAATAGTGACTGAGTGGCGAGGACTATGATGAGACCATAGAACGTGCAAAAGCTGATCATTGCTCTGCATTAAAGAAAGATTCTACCAGTTAAGATAAAAAATGAATGAGAGGGAAAATTCTCCCAATGACAGTAGCAGAAAGCCAAGCTAATAAACGATCCAAAGCTGAAGAAGGTAAGATTTTGAAATCTGTTCAGTATTTATGTGCTAATCTAGGCTTATTTTTCCTTCCCAGTGGAATCTAAAACACCCTGGAGGACATTCGAAGCACCTGCACCCACCCGGTGGCCCCCATCTTGAGCCAGGTTATGTACCAATGGGAATAAAACCACCAAAGATACCCTTTCCTGGGGGAGACCAAGGTTGAGACACTTTCCCTCACTGGTAACCCACTTCTGCACAAATTAATGCAACTGGCTTCAGGGAAATGCTTTCATTAAATTAATAGTGTTCGGCAAGCATCAGAAACACAGAATCTCACAGACAGATACAGGCAGAAAGAATCACGGTTCAATCCAAAAGCAACACACGGAGGAGACATCAGAGTCCACACGCATGCAGAGGAGCCGCGGGGGCGACTGGGGGACACACAGAGCTGCCTCACACGAGGCCGCAGAATGCGCAACATGGATCTGACTGCTTACCCACTAAGGACACCAAGAACCAGGTTAAGGACGAAAAATGAGCCAAGGATTATCAGACTAACAAAATACACCCAGGGCCATTCCCATCCTATCGCATCATTTACCTGTAAAATGTAAGGAGATCAGTTATCAGTTATCTATTTACTAAAGAGCGGAGCCCCAGGAGCAGCTGCCAGACCACTCGGAGCTTTGATGGACGATCACTGCCCCCAGGACAGGGACCCTGCCTAGGGCCTTCCATTTTTTGTCTTCAAATAAGAACAAGTTCTGCTGCTGAATTTTGTGGCCCACCAAAAGTCAGCCAGGACTAGCTCATTTAGCTACTGTTTTGTACTATATTAATCTGCATTATATTTGGATCCAGACCAATAAAGCAATTATGAATGTGTCTCATTTTAAGATAGACAAAAGGGCAAGCAATGGAAACTAGTTAAATCCCAAGCAACAACGTTGATTAATTTCTGGTCAATAGCTATTCTATAGCTTTCTTTCCTGATGGCTGGTGAGGTTCCAGGAAAGATCGTGATTTGGGAAGTCTCAGCAGAAAAGAAAGCATCTTGCACATATAAAACTCTTGGCCCCCACTTGGTGGCCCCATCTAGCAAAGCCTGTGTGGTCTTGGCAACTGTCCTCAGGACTCTGCTTTCAAGATGAAAGAGGTGTAGCTTACCCGCTCAATACACCAAGTACAAGATTTAGTACGAAAAATGACCCAAAGATGACGAGACTGACAAAATACACCCAGGGCAATTCAAATCCCATAGCATCATTCATCTGTAAGAAATAAGATGGTCTCACAGGAGTGGGTTAATAAAGGGATCTAGTAAGGAGAGAGGGTCACATTAGAGATAGCATTCTATACATTTAATGAAACATTTACTTAGATTCAAATCAGAGACAACAGTAGCCGATACATATTCATTACATATCACGCACACGCACACGCACACACATGCACACACAGTCATCAGAGCTTGCAGGGCAAATAAGAGCCAGCTCTGGCCACCAGTGGGGAAATCGGCTGGCACTGGCTCTTCCTCACAGGAAGCTGCCTTGACAAGGGGTTTCAGGAAGGATCTTGGTAGAGGACACAATCAGTGCTTAGCTGAAAACTGTTTTCTACTCTGTCCAAGTTGTTAGTACTTTTATTTGCTTTTCAAATTTGTGATGGTGGAAAAGTCTTAGTTATAGAGACAAATCAGCAACATTTGACTCTATAAATTCTATTCTTTAAAAAACTAAAATAATAACTTTCCATTGGAAGCCAACCTATCAAGGAAACCTAACTCGCCTTACATCTGGATGGCCCCCAAGCACAGTTAAAGTAATGCAAGGAGGCCAGTGTTCAGATGTCAGTGAGCTGACATCTTCAAGGGTGCCCTTGGGAATGAGATGTTTACTAATACACCACAGGAAGAACCCGGAGAAGGGAAACAAGCCCTTATCCCCCACACCTATCTTGGACCTAGATGACCCAGCCTGGGAAGGCTGGCTTCTGCTGTGAGCTGACTGGAGGAACCCTATGCCCCTGCTGTGGGACAAGCTCAAGCAGGACAGTCAGACGTGGCCTCCCCGACAGACCCTCCCAGGAGAGGTTTGGTCAAGAGCAGCTTTCATGCTGGAGCAAACAGGTGCTTTCAGCTTCATGGCTGGAGGGAACTTTCCAACAGCACAAGTCAGTGTTAAAGTGGGCTAATGCTTCTCCCAGGAAGGAGATGCTAAGGACCAGTCAGGGACAGAATGAATGACCCCAGGCCTGACTCCGCTGGAACACCCAGAATCTGCAGCCAACAGAACTACATCTAGTCTGGGCCAATGCACAGCTCTCGCCTTGCAGGTACAAGCCCTTCGGCTTGTAAGTGTGTGTTCTGCTCCACAATGTGAGGCTCTGGGTTTTACTTTTACAGAATGAGGCTTATACATTTCACTGTTTGCCTCATACAGAAGCCAAACAGGAAAGAGAACCAAAAAAAAAAAATTACCTAACATCTGTTGCTGAAGTCTAGGGAAAGGGCATTAAATCGCTCACAAAACACCTGTTTGACCACATGACAACTGATGTGCTTAATAGAACTCATATCAGTCTGCACATCTTACATTGGCAATTAGCGTAATGAATGAGCCAAGGCCATGGCTGCAATTGTTGATCTAATTAAGCTCGATAAACTAATTTCAGGAGGAAGGCAGAGGGTAATTCTTCCAAAGCAACTACAGCAACAAATTTATTTAAAAACCCATGTGTGGAGGACAAGAAACAGGCTGCCTGGTGCAGTGGCCAGAGCCCACAGTGGAGTCAGGACCTTCCACAGGGACCTCTGGGCCTGTTTCCTCTCTGCTGGAGCAGGAGTACGTATGACAGGGGACAGCATGCTCAGGGTGGGAGAAAGAGGTTCACGTCCAGGACTCCCACCAGGAGGCCTCACTCTCTACGGCTCCAGCCAAGGCAGCGGGCCAGCCCTCTGCTGCACCATCTTGGACAGGCCTCGGGGCTGTGCTCCAGGCAACGGCTCTAGTAACCCCTGTCTGCTCCACTTGGAAGGGAACTTGTTATGTTTCTTTTCTTTTCTTTTTTAGTTAAAGACCCTTTTAATTTCTTGGAGTACACATTTGCTCAAATCAGAAATATCACCAGGAATGACATCTGGAGTCTGGGGGGAAGGCTGGAGCTAAACAGACCCCAGAAGACTAAATCTCCAGAAGCTGGGGAAGACACAGAGCCCCAGCGCTAAGGGCCAGTCTTTCTCCCAACTAAACCTTCTCAACCTAGTCTCTTCTCAGAGGCTAGTGTTTCTCCAACCTTATCATATACATAGGACAAGTCAGAACTGGCAAGCTGCTCCCCAAAATACCCACATGAAGAGAGAGACTCTGCTTGGGATTTTGTCTGCATCTTATTTACCAATGATGGAGAAACTGGCATAAGCAAAAGCATGTCAATTTAGATTAATTTTTTAAATATTTACATCAAAAGTCGTCAGGTGGAGTCACCTGGTGCCCAGGGAATAATATTCTGAGTGTCAGTTTCCCTTACTTCAAAGGCTGAAATGCATACTCATGTCTCAATTAAAGGCCAACCTAAGGCTTTCTGTCTTCTCTAATTGTCAAAACCACCACTGGAAAGTTGGCATACTGGTTGTAGCTCCCCTGAGCATGGAATGAGAGAAAGGTACAGAAAGGCCAGCCCTTGGCCAACTAGAGAAGAATTTCCCAGGTACCTTGAATAAAGTCAATGGTCAAGCTGACCATGAGAACGTCCTATTTCAGTCTGACAGCCAGTACCTCCATAGGTATGTTCACTAAGAAAGTTTAGTGATCAGGCAAGAGGCCATATATAATTTAAATGGATAGCTCTCTCCTGAAACCAATACTATTTTAATTAATTTCTTACATTCAAAACCACTGCCTCTGAGTTGAAGAAGAAAAAAAAATGAATCATGTAATCTTGTTCTGCATTTTAAAAACAACAAAATTAAAGCCCAAAGAGGTTCGGTGACCTACCCAAGGTCACACACCAAGCCCTATCCCAGCCTAATGTCCTCTGCTTGTACTATACCCTTCTGCCTCTGTGGCCAGCAGACACATGTGGGTCAGATCACAGCTTGATTATGTTTACGGAACTCAATGTATAAAAGCTGTACAATAACTTTCCCCACCAAAGTTAGTAATCCCACTCCCCACATATCCATATGGTTCTGTTCTAAGTGTGTCTTTCTGCATATGGGGCCCATCTGTCTTTTCCTTCTCAAGACCATTTGCAAGACTCTCTCTCGAGATCTGAGGTATCAGTGAGCTTGTGAACACTGACTGAATATAAACTTGACAAGATGCAACATAATCCCTGGCAAAGACTTTGTCCACCATATACAAACACCTAAAGGACTGGAAAATTTGCTTGCCATCAATATTTAAAATCGAATCTCCTTAGCTATATTTCAAGATGCTTCCTTGATACCCTAGTTGCAGGTAAAACTTAATATTTAAACATGGCCCGTCTACACTGAGGCAATGGGATCACACACATGAAGAGTAACAGTAATTAGGATTTGTTGAGCGCCTCTCTGTGCCAGGCACTCTGCTGGGCAGGCATGTTCTGTTCTGGAACACAGCTGTGTGCCTTCCAGCTGACCGGCCCATAACATGTTAAGAAGGCTTTGTGCCCTGCCTCCTGCCTATCTCTACGATGAGGTAATAAATGTAATCAACAAGTAATTCAAAACAACCTGATGGGTTTCAGAGACTAAGATCTTAGTGAACACTCTGGAGGACATGACTTAGCTGCCCTTGCGTGTTCTAGGAGGGTGGAAGAGAGTGCTGGATTCTAGTCTACACCAGGGGTCAACAACCTATGACCTACAGGCCAAACCCACCTGCTTTTGTACAGCATTTGAGCTCAAAATGGCTTTCACAGTTTTAAATCACTGAAAAACTCAAAAGAATATTTCATGATACATTCATGCTATACAAAATTCTAATTTCAGTGTCCATAAAAATAGCATCATGGGAACAGAGCCAGCCCATTTGTCTACATGTTGTCTGTGGCTGCTTCGGAGAGACACAGGCAGAGGGCAGTACTGAGTAGTTGTGCCACTCATGGTCTGCAAGGCCAAATATATTTACTACCTGACCCCTTATAAAAAAGCCTGTAGACCCCATTCTAGATCAAGGACCACAGGCCACTTGCTATAGGACCCAGAGGATATTCAGTGGTTTCTATATATTCCACAGTTTCTAGCTTCAAAATCCCAGACTTCCTATAAAGAGATATACACTGGGATGAAGCCGATAAATTACATGAGTTCTTCCATCAAAGTAAAGGTGCCATGTGGTTCATAGATAATATAACTGTTATATTGTCAAATTATTAACTCTGTCATATTAACAATAGAGACAATAATTGTATGATCCTAGGTGAAACTTAAAGGTTCTCAGGAAAGTGAGTGGAAGCTTGTTCTGGGTACGTGGAGTTTTCTCTCCTTTAATCGCACACTCCCAGAGGTGTTACTTGCTTGACAATAGGAAATTGTCATGAGAGAACGTGCAGACACATAACAAAGTATAAAATTGTCCATTAGTCAAGGCATGTTGGAGCAGCGTGAACAATTCACCATGACTAGAGAGAAAAACAGAGCTGAGAAGATCACAGATTTTTATTTTTTTAATCAAAATGTTGTTTCCTGTACTGTTTGGGGGAAGGATTCGAGTTTAGGCTATTTGGATGATGCTTTTATTAATCAAGAATTTCAAGGGAAATCTGGGAGTGAGACCTCAACTACGCTAACCAGGAGTTGCAACTTTTTAGGTGATACTAGTAAAAATTAACCCTTTGCTTAATTTAAGGGTTCTCGTGCATGACCATGGTCTTGGCTCACCCAACATAATTTCCCTCCTTCATCCTCTTCATGAAAGGCATTGTCATACAGATATAAATAACACATGTGCATACCCACACAGACAGACACACACACGCATGCACACATACTCCTATGACAATAAGAATAAGGAGAGAAAAAGGGGGAAACAAGATATAACATGTTGGTGATGCTTAAACCTTATTACCAAACTAGACAGACATTTCGGGGATGAAAATGAAAACATACCCTCTTTGCCTAACATTGAGTATATAGGGACTTCCATAACCCTGTAAGCATGGTGTTCACTGGTAAAGGGAAGCAAAAACCTACTTATGACCATTGGATGGCATGTTCTCTGAAGTTAGAGTACTATGAAATCCTAGAGTGTCTAAAATTTAGAAGCTACTTCTGTCAGAAGCTACTTCTCAATCTGTAGGCCTTCTAACTAGAGAATGCCCATTCGAGAAGTATTTTATTCCTAATTGCCTTTTAACAACTCATTATTGGAATCCTGGTTAATCCCATTTGGACTTGATTAGGCTCAAAAATCTACATGCCAGCTGTTTTTCCCAGCAACTCTGTGGCATAGAAAAGGATTTCCAAACTTCTGGGAGCTTTCTCAAATTCTACCAAACAAATAAACAAACTCAGCTCTGGAAAATGGCTGCTAAAATACTACTGCTCTTCATTTATGGCAAACCCTTCTGGCACTGTCAGGAACAAGAAGAACCAGACCCCAGCCACTGAGAGGGTGTCCATCTGTTTTCACAGCCTGTTGGATGGGTCCCCACTCCATTTCTACCCTCTCTGCCAGAGTTCTTTGGCTCCAAAGAGAAAGGAAGAGAGAGCTAAGGACCTGTGCTGGGCTGATTTATATAATACTAAAGATGCAAGGGAAATGTTATAATAGGGGAAAAACCCATTTGGGCTTTAGGGCTGTGCTCAGTTATGAAAAGCATGAAAGAAATGCCATTTGTGTTCCTTGTCTTCTGTTTAGGCTTCTAGTAAAGCAACCTGCCTTTATAAAAGAACATGATTAGCCAATGGAAGCCTCTTAGCCTTGGAAATAATTCCTGGCTCTCTGAGAGCTTACTCTGGATAGCCCTGGCCTTCTGGGGTTCCTCCAGAAAGGGACTGCTAGGCACACTCAGCAAGGATCCCCAGGCAGCACTGGGGAATGGAGGAAGCCAACCTTACGCATCCTGCTCTCTAGAATGGAAACTAAGGCCCTGAGGAGGAAAGATGACAAGTCTCGCTGAGTGAAGTGAGGGTCTGCTTCCCTTCCCACAGGACTGACTTCTAGGGTTTCCTTCTCGGCCAGCCCTCCAATGGCTCTAGCTAATGCAACAGTTAGCCAAGGAAAGAACACTCCATCAGCTCTCTCCTCAGCCTGCTTACCCAGTAGAGCACGTCCGTCCAGCCCTCCATGGTGATGCACTGAAACACGGTGAGCATGGCAAAGGCAAAGTTATCAAAGTTGGTGATGCCTCCGTTGGGGCCGACCCAGCCACTCCTACACTCCGTGCCGTTGGCGGTACACTGGCGTCCATTCCCTGAGAACGCACACGGCGCTGGGTCCTCTTCGGCTACGATATCTGCAACAGAGCAAGAAGGCTTCCCGCTGGGACAGGAGCATCAGAGGACCCAAGCCTGAGGAAGCTGGGTACCCAGCTACAGCCTGGAACGCCCCACCTCCCGTCTCTGCTGTCTCAGAGTCCTACTTGTCCCTCAAGGTCGACTTCACATGGTCCCTCCTCATTTCCTGTGCTCACTCACAGCACCTTTCTCAAGGCGGCCGAGAACAATGCTGTTGATTCACCCCATGTTCTAGTTTTGGGGGTCCCTCAGCTTGCTTGCCAGGAACCATTGCATAGGAAATCAGGACAGAAAAAGATATTAAATTCTCATTTATTCTAAACGTAATTCACACTAGGGAACTGGCTCAGTAAATTTACTGGTACATTTTGGCTATTTCCCCCCGACTACTCTCATTTTGTTTTAGATTTTCTCAAAACCGTAAAAGTTGTCTGGGAGAAAATAAATTTTTTTAAAAAGTTGGATTAACTACCATTTTCATTACTCACCTGAGTCAGCAAAAAAGCATGTTTTGTGCATTTTTCCAATAAAAAGTTCCAATCCTATAATAGCATAGATTATGATCACAAATAACACCAAAAGGGCTATGTGAAGGAGGGGGACCATGGCTTTTATAATGGAGTTCAGGACAACTTGTAAACCTAGGAGAGAGAGAAATAAGTGTGTGAGTCAGGAAGAAACTCCAGTAATGCACACACATAACCCTCAGCGGTGCCTGCTTTGCATATGACATAGCAATAAAACGCATCCGCTCAGCAGAGTTCCTTGCACCTGTCTACCATATGGCGAGCATCAGGTTGGTGCTTTGGGAGATATGAGGATGTATCACATGAAGTGCCTTTTCTCAAAGAGGCTGTGTTCTAGAAGGAGACAGAAGAACGGAACGCGAGTTAAAGGTAGCACACGGGTGCTGTGTAACATCAGGCCCAGCTAAAGAGGGATGAAAACCGCTTCTGAGTGGGGAGAAGAAAGAGGACTGAGCGGCAGCCTCCCTCTCAGCAGGGCCTGGGGCTGAGATGGGTGGGTTTCCACGGGTGGGCAGAGGAGAGGCTACGCCGAGCAGAGGGGAGAGAGCACCGAAGGCACAGAAGCCAGCCAGCCAGCGTGGGCTGGAGGGCGGGGAGTCTTGGCTGGTGGGCCAGTGTTGTTCAGTGGTTAGAGCATCAGCCCACGCACCAAAGGGTTGTGGGTTTGATTCCCATTCAAGGGCACATACCTGGGTTTCAGGTTCAATCCCTGGCCCTCTCTCTCGCATAGATGTTTCTTTCTCTCTCACATAGATGTTTCTTTCTCTCTCTCCCCCCACCTTGTTCCCTCCCTTCCATTTTCTCTAAAAAGCAATGGGAAAATATCTTCAGGTGAGGATTAACAAAAAAAAGAAAGAGGGAAAAGAGAAGAGTGTCAGGAATGAAAAGCAGATTGCAGGTAGGTAGCTCCAGGTCTGGAATCTGGGTTACAACCAGACTCTAGGCCTCCGTCCATCCGCAAAAGGCAGCCCCTCTAGAAAGATGACCGGGGCAGCAGTAGGCAGGACCGGTGGAGACCAGAAAGTGTGAGAGAGAAGGTACCTGTGGAGGCAGGGTCATGGGGCAAATCCTAGTGCCCGAACCAAAACAGCATGGCGAGAGGAGGCTCTCCTGGAACGAGAGCTGGGAGGTGGGCAGGGAAGGAGAGGGTGAGTCTGCTCAATGGCAGAGCATCAAGAGGGACACCTCCTGCAGTTGAACCGTGGGCTTGAAGGAAGAGAAGGGACATGAGAACCTGGGAGCCTCCCACGGAGTAATCCTGAGCCATGGTACAGGGCGAGGAAAGGAGAGTGGAAAGAGGGCTGGTGGGTGGGGCAACGTTCAGGATTCGGATCGTGTGGGAGGAGGCAGAAGACGGGGGGACAAGGATGGGCAGGAAACCAGAGCCCACACTAGAACCCGACTCCCACGTTTAGTGTCCTGCGTTCCTCCCGCCCCCATGGCCACAGCTTCTGCTCTGCCTTAATCCACTCTTTCCACCTTGCTCCCGTCTCCTTCCCTTCCCCTCCCTCCCCTCTCCCTCCCCACTGTCTCGCCCTCCAACCGCCCTTTTCCAAAATCTTCTCACTCTAATACATAGTCAGAGAAGGAAAGAATATAAGCTGAAAATGCAAAAATTAAATAAGTTAGAAATCAGAACACATGAGCAGAGGGAAGAACACTTATCAGCAACGACGAGACAGACATGGCAGAGGCAGGGGACTGGCTGCCTGGCTGGGGAGGGCAGGAGGCCTCATCAAAGGATCTCAGACCCACGAAGAGCCCATCTTTCCAAGACCCTCGTTAGGACCAAAGTCCTAGGTCCTGCCTTCAGATATTTAAATGCTCAGATTATCTCTTTTGGGAAAAAAAAAATGATCAATAAGATGACTGTTAATGTTTTCACTTTCTAGAAAAAACAGAGGGGAGAAAAAACCATCTGCTTTAATCTACTTGGGCAGGGTTTTCTGTTTATTTTTTACACATGGACGGGTCATCCAAAATCGCTATTCAGCAGTTAGCTCTTCTAAACTTGGTGGCAGTGAGCCATGTGTTTATCTTCAAGTTTCTACCATATTTCAGATGGGCCACATTTGTGAGATAATGAAGTTGGATCTTAATGCGCACTGGACACTTTTATATGACATTAGGCTCCTTTTTACACTGTCGATGTGTACAGATCTCACGGGGCTCTGGACACTGAGGCAGAGAGATGAAGTGGAAAGAACACCAGGAACTGGGAGACCGTGGGTCTGGCCCTGTTTGGCCACCCACTAGCTGTGGGAACCTGCCGAGGTCACCACCCCTTTGCAGCCCTCAGCCTCTGCACATAAAAGGTGATGTGTAGGACAGAATGTTCTCCGGGGTTCCTTCTCACTTTGACGGTCTAGGATGCCAATAAACACTTCGTTAGCTGAGTGTGGGTGGTTAAGAACTCCACAAACGTCGGAACTAATCTCTTCTGAAACATACATTTTTCACCTTCCACTAACTGAATATATTCACATACACAACAAAATCCTGCGTACAGGACAGCCTCGTTCCCTTCAGAAATGACTCGTGTAGACAATTCCCAGGTAAGTGTAACCAGCCCAGCTCTCCCAGGCTTTTCTAACAATCTCAGGTACGTCCCTGAGGAGAAACCACTGGGCCACAGTTGCCAGCCAGCGTGGGAAGCAGCATGACACACAGCCCTCTCCCAATCTCCCAAAGCCCTTTTGGGTCCATTGAGAGGCTTGGGTGTCCCCTCCAGGGACACTAGTTCAAATACAAGCTGAAAAGTCCTTACACAAGACTGCGATCCCTGCCCTGGCTGGTTTGGCTCGGCGGTTAGAGCGTCGGCCCATGAACCAGAGAGTCCAGCGTTCAGTTCCCGCTGGGGGCACGTACCTCGGTTGCAGTTTGTCCCCGGCCCCGGTTGGGGTTGTGTGGGTGGCAACCAGTGGATGTGTCTCGCTCACATCGATGTTTCTCTCTCTTTCTCCCTCCTGCTCTATCTGAAGATAACTGCAAAAATGTCCTCGGGTGAGGATTTAAAAAAAAGGCCCGTATCCCCGTTTCTCCCTGCTGACCCACGGGAGAACATGATGCAGACCTCGGTGAGGTTTCACAGTAATATTTGGGGGCGGGGGGAACACGGTTTAAAACTGGCTCTCGAGAGGATGCAGGAGCAATGGACTAGTCATTTAGTGACAAGCTCACGAGGCAAGGAGCCAACCCAAGGCGGTGTACACAGTTTTCACCCACCAGCCGTGCACACGTGAGCCCAGCGCGGGTGTCCGCGGCCACGCACCGCACGGGCAGGCTGTCCTGCCATTTGCTCTCTGAGGGGAAAAGTTGTCATGGTTACTTTGCGATGAGATTAAGCTGTAACAACTAAATCTGAAAGAACATGTTTGCTCACTGAACTTCTCATGTAACGACGTTACACCCTAACAGAGCCAGTCATTTCCAAGGTATTTCTATTTTTCTCAATTGCTTCCAGACAGTTCTGTGGTTTTGACTCGCGCTGATCTTTTTCAATGAAAATAAATGAACCATCTGGAAAAACAAGGACACATAAAACACCCTTCCTACATTTTAAAATGTTAAACTTGGAAATCTTTTTCTCTTCCAGAGCGTTGCTGGGGCCTTCTGAGCACCAACGGGTTTAATAAAAATTCACAAAGAAGTTCTGGAGGAGCGAAGCCATGGTCTGGGCCGTTGTGATGGCTTCCCGGGTGGTGGAAACAGGCACGCCCTGGCGTCCCGAAGCCTTGCCCAGCTGGCAGCAGGCGGCCACCTCACAACCACAGTCCTGGGAAAGGTGCTAAGACACCTACCCTCTGAGGTTCCCAACAGGGGTATCCTATCAGGACAGAGCCCAGTGGAGCACACCCCGCACCCCTTGTAGAAGCAGCTGTCTGCAGCTCCTGGCCGGGGCACAGACAGGACACCTGTTCCCACTCAGGTGGCACTCCTCCTGGCCTGGGGGCCGGCACGAGCAGCACCCGAGGGCCTGGCACAGACAGGTGTCCTAGCCAAGTGGAGGATAACATCTCTCCCGCTGAGGGTCTCCTCTGTGCTGCAGACCTTGGGCGGCGCTCCCTGCACCATCTCCAGTCCCCAAACCACCGGGAGCAGCTTCCATTATGCCATGTGCACGGGCAAGAGGCATTCACCTCCCCCCGCCGCGGGACAGGCACAGCTCCTCAGGGCGGAGAGCCGCTTTCAGAAGCCCAGCCCACTTTGCAAACAGGCAGTGAGTTGCCCTCCGACACCTCCATCTAGATAAGTCCCCACTTTCAGAGGGCACAGAGGGCAGGCCTGGCAATGGGAGCAGCTGGTGGCCAGTGCACTGTCACAGAAAGAAAACCAGACCAGAATCAGGAGGCCTGTGTGCAAGGCCTCCTGCCACCTCTCACTCCACCTCTCTACAAGAGAAGGCTGTCTCTTCTACAAAATCCGGAAGGCACATCACTGCCAGCCCGTCCTGGGGCTGTCATGGGATCCAAAGTGACAACAGAAGCCAAAGTGCATCGCAAACAGCGAAGGCCCCAGGGTCTTCTGCAGAGCCCTGGGCTGGTGCACTCACCTGGTCGCACTCCGTTTCCTAGTCCCGAGACCCACCCAGAAGACAGAGTCAACAACATCCTGGCTTTAGGAAACAAAACGTGCTTACTGGGCACTCCTGATACTAGTCGAAGTGGTCGCAACACTCGAAAGGCGCGGAGGGCTTTGACGTCAAAGCCTCCCGATTTGCCGCTGGAGTGGTTACCGCCTTCTGTTTCTTTGGTTAATTGTTCCAAAATTACACTAAACAATCTGAAAGAAGAGGAGAGGAAGAAATGTTAGGGTCTGTCACCCAGGGAAGCAAAACAGGAAGATAACAGTACTTATTTTTGAGCGAAGGCTAATTCTGTACAGCTGCTGTTAACTAAAGGGAGAACAAGGTGAAGGCAAGGACCCGCTGTGACTCCTGATCGTGACTAACCTGATTTGGGTCAGGGATGACCTCCTGTTTCCCTGCCAAGGGAACATTCTCAAGCAAGTCAACCCCCATGGAAGAGGGGGCTCACTGGGGATCCAATGACAACAGATAGAATTGCCCCAATCAGAAAAATGACAGCAATAATCATAACGGCTCCCACCTGTGACCACGCATCACGTGCCAAGTGCTTCACATACATGATCTCACCAACCCTCATACAATGTTATGCAGCCGGAATTATTATTCACACCACTTTACACATGAGGGAACGAACTTCACGAGAACAAGTAACTCACCAGTTCACAAAACCAGAGGCAGAACTAACATATGAATCCAGGCATGCTGACCCCACTGGGATGTAGGTTCCTTCCGAGCAGGGCATTTTAGTCTGTTTTGTTCATTAAGTTTCTCCCAGCCTGGTGCTTAGAACAGTTCCTGATATGTGAGAGGTGCTCAAAAATATTTAACGAAAGTCCCAAATCTTCATCGATATGTTAACCACCACCTCCACCCTCACAGGGATGTTTGCAGAATGATGCAAATCCCAGATGCTAAGGAGTTGTGCAAAGGCCAGAAGCAGTGAAGTAAGGTATTAATATCATCATTTGCTCTTTTGAAATGTGAACAACATTGTCTCTGGCAGCCACGAGAAATTTTTTTCCTCCTCTCCGAAGGTTTTTCGGATAAAGCTATTTTCAGGCAATCTGCTCATTTGATAGTTACTTTTGCTCTTTCAAATAAACATTTATTCCTTGGAATTGCCGCTTGTGTTTTCAGAATAAATATATTTGCCCATTTCAAATAGAATCAACTCTGGCCAATCAGATTGTGGGAATGATTGGCCCGGCAACAAAGAAAAAAGTTTCTAAAGTTTAATTAGCAGCCAAAGCAGAAACTCTGCCCCCACTGGCACGCCTCTGGATGACCAAGACACTAGGTCCATAAAATACAGGGTGGTCTGATGTGCAGTCCTGATCAGGCACAGTCATGCGGTTCTGGGGCATTTAAAGACCAGTCGTTTGTTTTAATAACACGACAGCAGTTAGCAATGAAGCCAGTTGGGAGGGAGGGAGGACCGAGGTCAGGCCTCTACCTTTGCAAAGCTTCAGATGACAGCTTTCTCTCATTAGCATAGTTTTTTAGCCCTGCAGCAAGGCTAAAGTTCAAAGTCTCCCTCCAAACCAAGTTCATAGCTTCACAAAACCAAAGAAAGAGGAAGAAAGAAAACCTCAAACTTTTCTGAAATGTGGCAGCCACAGGAATTTTCATCCCAAAGGGTTAGGAAAGTAATTTATGCAGGTGGTGACTTAAGATTGCTTTCAAGTACCAGTGTTTTGCAATGTACACTTTATGGTCCTTCATCCCCTGTTCTTCAGCAATGTCCTTGAAGGCAGGTGAACAGTGTCTCTCTCCCATTACAGAGGACAGAGAGGGATGTCTGGCCATTTCCACACAGCCAGGCGTGGAAGGGGTCAGGGCTGGCTTCCATTCCCACCAGCTAGGAGGTAATAAAACAAGTCCCTCGCCTTCCCTGGGCTTGTTTCCTCTGTAAAATGAGAAAACTGGCCCTGGCTGGTATGGCTCAGTGGTTAGAATGTTGGCCTGCATATGAAGGGTCATAGGTTCGATTCCCAGTCAAGGGCACATACCTGAGTTGCAGGTTCGAACCCTGGCCCTGGGCAGGGAGCATGCAGAAGGCAACCAATAGATGTGTCTCTCTCACATTGATGTTTCTCTCTCTCTCTCCCTCCTTCCTTTCCACTCTAAAAATCAGTGGAAAAAATATCCTTGGGTAAGTATTAACAAAAAAAAAAAAAAAAAGAAAGACAGAAAAAACTGGATTAAATTATCCAGGGTCCCACCCCCATCCCATTCTAATATTCTGTGATTCTACTCTCTTCACCACCACCCCCAAACAAATAAACGTACCGTGTGCCTAAGAGACAAGGACATGAGGAGAAAGTATTTGATACTAGACTGTTATCAAAAGTTCCCTCCAAGCCCTGGCCAGTGTGACTCCGTCGGTTGAGCACAGTCACTTGCGCCAAAGTCCCCAGTTGATTCCGGGTCAGATCACACACCTGGGTTGCTGGCTTGATCCCCAGTAGAGGGTGTGCAGGAGGCAGCTGATGGATGTTTCTCTCACATGGAGCTCTCTCTCCCCCACCCCTCCTCTCTCCACTCTCTCTCTCCCTCACCCTGCCTCTCCCCCTTCCCTCCCCTCCTGCTAAAAAGCAATAAAGAAAAAAAAAATACTGGAAGAAAAGTTTACCCCAAGACAGGAGGGAAAAGGCAAGGTGCCACCTAACCTGCCGCAAGTCAGAAGCACTAGAACGATGATGCACACTCTTCGCAGAGCCTGGGTGAAGAGCCTGAGAGCCTACAACACCTGCTCATCGAAAAATTAAGGCAGGGGATCAACACGGGCTCAGATCGACCTTTCCTAGACGGGGACTAACACCAGCTCTCGGAGACCCACCGAGTCCGCCTGTGGTCACAATATCAACAGTTAACATTTTAGACATATCAGTTATCTTCTTAATGTCTCTGGTACCAGGAATCTTGACAAAAGCAGGTCATGGCTGACTCGGAACGGAAAATCTATTGGATTGAGATACAGTCTGTGGCTGGAAACTTTAGGGAGTAAGAATTTGATTCAAATGAAGACATCATTTAATTTTTCATTCTTTGTAATTTTTCTTCCACTCTTTGACAATTTAGTTTATATTTTAGAACAATAATCTGATGTTTTAAAGTTTTTCATATTTAATGAGGAAACAAAAGACCAATGAGTCCAGTTCTAGTACTTTAATTTCCTCGATGATTTTTTTACTTTTTTTTTTAAGCAATGTTATTGCTGCTAGTTTATAATACATCCATTTAAAGTGTACAATGACATGTTTTGACAAAGGTATACGTCTACGTGATGAACACCACAATCAAGACATCCAGCATCTCTCATACCCTCTGAGTCAGTGGTTCTCAACCTTCTTAAGGCTGCCACCCTTTAATACAGTTCCCCACGTTGTGGGGACCCCCAACCAAATTATTTTCATTGCTACTTCATAACTATAATTTTGCTACTCTTATGTGTTAGGCGACCCCTGTGAAAGGGTCAGTTGACCCCCAAAGGGGTCGTAACCCACAGGTTGAGAACCGCTGCTCTAAGTCATGTTCCTCCAAGCACAGCTTTAGGTAACCACTCATGGGCCAAGGATCACGTGAGGTTTTCCCCTTTTCTTGAATCTTATATAAACAGAATTGTACAACTTGTTCTTTTTCTGTTTATCTTCTTTTGCTCAGCATGTTTTTGAGAGTCATCCAAGTTGTTATATTTATCAGCAGTTCATCTCTTTTTATTGCTGAGTGATACTCCACTGTATGAGTATGCCACAATGAGTTATCTATTCACCTGTTAAGAGATATTTGGGTTGTTTCCACCTTTTCTCTATTATGAAACAATGCCTCTTTGTGACATGTACTTTCCCTTATCTTGGATAAGTACATGCTACTAATACTGATAATATGGTCACGTGGTTAGTGTATAATTAATATTGTAAGAATTTGGCAAACTTTTCCAAAATGATCGTATCATTTTCCATTTTTATAAGCAGTGAATGAGAGTTCCAGTTGCTTCATATCTTGGTTAACATTTGGTGTTATCAATCTTTCTACATTTAGTAATACTAGTGAGTATGTAACCATTGTCCTTGTGGCTTTAATCTGCATTTCTCTAATTACTAATGATGAACATCTTTTCAGATGCTTGGTGACCATTTACATATCTTCTTTTGTGAAAATCTGTTCAAATCTTTTGCCCATTTACGTACTGGGTTGTCTTCTTAGTATTGAGTTGTAAGAGTTCTTTATATATTCTAAATACAAATCCTTAGTTATATATAGGTACTGTGAATTATTTTCCCAATCAGTGCATTGCGTTTTCATTTTGTTCACACTGTCTTTTGAAGAAAAGTTTTAAATTTTGATAAGGTCCAAAATTTCAATTATTTCTTTTATGGCTAGTACTTTTTGTGTCCTAAGAAATCTCTGCCTACACCAATGTCATAAAGATGTTCTCCTAAAAATTTTATAGTTTTAGCTTTCACTTATAGTTCTAGGATCCGTTAAGGGAGTATCCATATATAATATGAGATAAAAATAGAATCTCTTTTTTTTATATGGAGAAATAGTTGGCTGGGCACCATCTGTTGAAAATAGCTTCCTTGACCCACTGAATTATCAAGGAACCTTTGTCTAAAATCAATTTTATGGGTCTATTTCTAGACTCCCTATTCTGTTCCTTTGATCTTTATGTCCACTCCTTATGTCAATATCACAGTCTTAACTACTTACTATAGTTTTATAGTAAGCCTTCAAACCAGGTTCTAGCATTGTTCTTAAACATTTCTTTGGCTATTCTAGAGCCTCTCTAATATCCATTTAAATTTTCAAATAAATTTGTCAGTCTCTACAACTATCTCACTGGGATTTAGATTAGGATTCAATCTATAGCTTAATTTGAGAAGAACCGTTATCCTACAATATTGAGTCTTTTAATCCATGACATTGTGCATCATTCCATTTATTCAGGTCTTCTTCACTTTTTTCTCAGAAAGGTTTAGTCATTTTCAGTGCACTATCCCTACACATTCCATGTTTTTGATGCTACAGTAAATAGGAGTCTTTAAATCTTTTTACAATGGTTCGTGACTATTACATAGAAATTCGCAGACTTTTTCATACTGACCTTTTCATACTGACCTTTCAGAAACATTGCTAAATTCATTCAGAAAAC